AAATATACTTTTGAAAATCAGTTTTGCCCTTCCTGCTTTTACCCACTAGCAAGTCCTTCGGATAGGAATCTGTTCTCAAGCAACATGCCCCAGGCATAAATAAAACCCACCCAACATTACCCAACCATACCCCAGCAAATCTTCCCCATATCCTGGCAAAATCACACTTTATACAGTTCCAGTGGATCCCAGTTTGGGACAGTAATGTAGCAAAAGAGTGTCTTACAGGGTCATGTGAAACACAAGCAACATTAGTCATAACCTTTGAATAACACACACTACAGAAACAGGAATGTCTGTATTAAAGCAAAGCATTTAGGCTCCTACATTGCCACAATTTTTCTTCCTAGCATCAGTATTCTTGCAAGGAGAGTAACTTCTTTATATATAAAGAAAAAATATCTACCCAATATCATTTCCAGTTGTCTGTTACTAGATTTCCCACAAGTTTATCAGTTCAATCAAAAGTGTAAAACCACAACATTGAAAGGCTTCAATGTCTTTCACTCACAGCCTATCCCTGTGAGAATGCTGAATGTTCCTGTGGGGATTTACACATCACCACACCTACCTGAACACTGGAAACTGGGAGATAGAGCTAAAGCTCATAAAAATTGATGAGACACATTGCAACCACGTCACCTGGCTCTGGAATGAAACCCTTGTGGTGATGGGGGGATGGGTAAGGCTGAAACATAGCATTCTGTAAAAATAAAAGCCCTGCTTATAGATATTAATATTAAGCTTGAAAGCACTGAAATATAAACTGTTAAAATAACTTCCCCAAATGAGGCTGGATGGGGAGGGGATTGTGCAAAAACCCCCCTAAAACCATTTCTTTCTTTTGTGTTCATTCAAGCATTTAAAAAGCTGGGCAAGACAGAAAAAGTGATCTGATACTTTATTAAGATCAGTCCTTCTCCAGTCTTTGCCCTAACCACATCAGACTTGGATTCCATCTCTCGCTCAAACATTTTTAATCTGAGTTGTAACAAAATTGCTGCTGCTCTTTCATTGTGTCAGAACAACGCAGCCATTACAGCACTGTTATTTTCCTTAAGTGTAGTTGGACTCGTGCATTTCATTGTCACACAACCGTACCCAAGGAGATAAGGCTATGTGTAATCATCCAGAGAAACTGAAGCAAACACAATAGCACAGGCCACAGTGGAGACATTTTCGGACAGTGCCTGAAAATTAAAACCATCAAGAGAGCTACACTAGCTTTGATCTACCATTAGTGCTGCTACTTAAAGTATCCTATCTAAAAATGTACAGTAACCTTTATAGCACATCACTTGCCTTCAGAAAGTGCTTGCCTCAGATTTTCAGTATTTCTGAGTCAAAACACACCAAGCTACATGGGCTGTACTGACAGTGCTCTACCCAACCCCTAATTTCACAGCTTTGCTGCTTCTTCTTTCACAGCAATATGCCTCTTTCCCAACAGGACGCAGGCTAAGAGCTCTAGTGCACTGTGCACAACTTATCAAGAGCCACAGCAATTGCTGTGCAGGAAAGGCTGCAGCAATTTATTAAGTTTCTGCCTGGATTTTATACCTCTAAGTCAAGAGGAGTAAATGAGGGAGGAAACGGATGCTCTGCATCTAGAGAGCACTCTCCTTATCCCAAAGATGCACCTAAAACACAAAGCGTATTCTTTAGCCCCTCACCCTTGGATCCATGCCCAACTCCGGGTAAATGGAAGTAACACAGTACGAGAAACACCCCTGTCTAATCAGACCTTTCTGTTGTGCCCAAATAAGAATGCAGGAGGACAACAAAAAGTGGAAAAGATTCCTCCTTTCTCTTTCAGATAAAAAGGACAATTGAACAGGTTGACTTATCCAACACATTGACCATACCAAGGAGATGGGCTCCCGGTAATAATACTGGTACATCACTAACACTTATTCGATGGCACTTCCTACAGAACAGTACAGTAAGAAAACAGAGGTAAAAATCACATTAAGGAATACAGAAGTGCTGATTTCCCATTAAGGAATAAATGGGTACTGATTTCCCATAAATCCAAATCCACAAAATAAAGAACTGATGTCAGACACTTCTGCAGTCACAGAATTTTTTAAAGTAGTACCTTGCTTCGAGTAACAGCCATTACTAGTTGCTTTAGAGGAAGATGCAGAAAAAAAATTACCATGACAGTTCACTCTAAAAAGCTCCCATAAGAAAAATGTCTTGCTGAGTCCTGTCTGCCGGGATTTTCCTTCAGGCCAAAGAATGAGGGTTTGTATTACCTACAAAAAAAGTTATGTCTCTTAGAAGAATTTGACCCCAGCCCTAAGACTGCTGCTCACTGCTTGGCTTTCTGGCATTTTGTGACAGTAAGTTCCATCCAATAAATGGAACCAAATGTGCCCAAAGTATTTAGTCTTCCCAGCAGAAAACAGATTGCTGCAGTTTAACCTGCTCCCAAGCCATCAGGTTCCCTTGGATCATCTCATTGTCCTCACTAGCAGCAACTACTCATATCCATGCTAGGTCACGTACGTGACACCCACTGATAATCCTTCATCAGTATTGAATGACATCCACCAGTCCTACCTTCCTTTGTGTCCACACCAGTGTAACACCACACCCTTCCTCTCACCTACGTTAACTTAGTGCTCTTAGTCTTTCTGAGATACCTTGTCAAAAGTTTAAAAACATCTGTAAACACAATATACAGCAGTTCTTCCTTCAACCACACACTGGCTGACGTATAAAAATAAATATAGCAGAAAGAAGGAGTCATATCCATCCTCCTGAGACTCTGTGCTAGCTTGCAGATGAAAGTCTAGAGTCACCAGTAGAAAATAAAACGTCAAGGGAGGCCAACTGAATGAAGATTCAGTTCCTAGGTTCCGTTTTTCTATTGTCCCAACTGCTTCTTTCCCAGCACGGCCAGCAGGTCGAGGGAGGTGATTCTGCCCCTCTAATCCGCTCTCGTAAGGCCCCACCTGGAGTTCTGCGTCCAGTTCTGGAGCCCCCATCACAAGAGAGACCTGGAGCAGCTAGAACAAGTCCAGAGGAGGCCACGAGGATGATCCAAGGGCTGAAGCACCTCTCCTATGAGGACAGGCTGAGAGAGTTGGGGCTGTACAGCCTGGAAAAGGGAAGGCTCCGGGGAGATCTCATAGCGGCCTTCCAGTACCTGAAGGGGCCTACAAGAAAGCTGGGGAGGGACTTTTTATAAGGGCAGTTAATGACAAAACAAGGGGAAAAGGCTTTAAACTGAAAGAGGGGAGGTTTAGATTAGATATTAGGAAGAAGTTTTTCACTGTGAGGGTGGTCAGACACTGGAACAGGTTGCCCAGAGAAGTTGTGGCTGCCCCCTCCCTGGAAGTGTTTAAGGCCAGGCTGGATGAGGCTTTGAGCAACCTGATCTAGTGGAAGGTGTCCCTGCTGATGGCAGGGGGATTGGAACTGGATGATCTTTAAGGTCCCTTCCAATCCTAACCATTCTATGATTCTTTAAAAGTTTCCTCCCTTTTTTTCACATTTTGGATTTCTTCTGCAGGCACATATGAAATGAGGTAACTCCTAAAGTAACAGAGGAGAGGGGCTGGCTTTCATTTGACTTCAACTAGATATGTGATCTTTCCTTCTTTTAGTTGGGGGCTCCAGAAAACAGACTGGTGCTTGCAATTTCTCAACATGGCATCTTTCAAAAATTCTGCCTAAAAGCCATCCACAAACGTACACAACAGGAATTTACCAAATTCATTCTGGGACCAGGAGACTTTCATGGTACCCTGATAAAACTTTTCTTATCTCAAGTTTCCTGATTTTTCTTACAGGAGTCAGGAGTAAAAGACAGAAATGTACTGAAGATTAATAATTACTTTCAGGCTACAGCAGTCAGGTATAAACACACCTACTTATAAATCAGTCAGGTTTTTTTCTAGCTTATAAGAACAGTAATGGAAATAAATCCATTACTAATAAAGACAGGGCTGTAAATAACAATTTATGTTCTATAGCTGAAAATAAATAGCAGGACTGAAACTCCTGAAACAGACAAACAAGTCTGACTTATTGTTAATAATGAATTGTTTTGCTTTATATAGAAGTTTTCAAGCCTGATGGATTTCAAAGTGTTTCACAGTACAAGCACATGAAAGAAACAGACAATTCTGGAAGAGGGGAGAGCAGAGAGCATAATGCATACCTCTCAGAAAGATTTCTTTTGGGTAGAAACAACAGCAACTTTGACCCTTGCAAAAAAAAAAAAAAAGACTTTGAAATACTTGCAATAAAAACTCCCTCTTGGTTCATATTTATACGTGCTTCGTGTCTCCCCGACAGGAAAGGAGAGAAGTAAAACTGGGCGAAGTACAGACTGTGAGACAGGGAAGGTGATGAGAACATCAGCGAGGACTATGTCAGAAATGTCTAAAAGTGAAGAAAAGGGAGTGACAGAAAGGCCAGAAATCTGTGCTGAAGTTGAGACTCCTCCATGAATTTTGTTTGGCATATTTACTAGGCCTACACACAGAGTCAGAGGTGCAACAGCCAAGCATGGCATCAGTCACAAATGAGCCACACCACCAGGGCAAAGGGAACTGAAGAGGATATATAAAAAGTAGTACTGCCCATGGAGATTTCAGGGACATGTACATTGCATACCCCACCCACTGGACAAGTGAAAAACTTGCGGGAAACATTCAAACTGCACAACCATTTTCCCTTTTAATAAGCTTATTCAACCACAACAACAAAGGCTCAAGCATCTGTTACAATTTTTCAATGCACCCATTACTAATTTTTTTACGAAAATATTTTGACTTTCAAAGCAAAAGTGGCTTTGAAAAAAGAAAAGGGTAATGCACATAGTGAATGGATGTGGAAGCCTAACACAATTAGTAATTGATCTTGGATCAGGAAACAGCTTTCTGTTCTCGGCACTTTTCCCACAACTGAAGCTCCAACATGCTACAACTGCATGATGGGATAAACACTAGTATCAATGAAAATAAATGACAGTAGCGACTACTTACCAGGTACAAGTCCTTGTTGATACCTAGATATTTCCCATTACCACAACCAACATCAGCCACTATTGACCCTTCTGGTAGAGACCTGAGAAACTCTCCAATTCGGGGCCATGGGCTATGCCTGGTGCTGCTGAAGTGTGTGGCAATCTCTTCGTACACCTTGTGTACATATTCTTGCTCCAGCTTTGAGGCTTCCACCTCACTGTGGGGAAATGCAGGTTGTACTTGTCTTTGCTGTCCTTTCTGGCTGTTGCAGACAGATGGGTAAACTAGATATAGCAACAAATACACAAACAATACATTTTTTTTTGGTCATTCCTTGTTGGTTAAACTTATTTAGCAAAATAAAATTAGCAGTGAAATATTAAAATGCAAAAAATGCTTCATTCCTCCTTTGCTTTTTAAAAACTGAAATGCAGGTCAAACTGCAGAAGTTTTTGATGACCTTAAAACAAGCAACCTGCCCATGTGTACAAGAGGCTGTTAGCAGTGATCATTCATCCTGCTATGCTAATGAGGTTTATGTTTTCAAAACTGAGACAGTGCCCCTAATATCAAAGATCATTACATCATTGCAATTCAGCCTCTGAAATTCTGTTCTGATGGCACAAATGAACTTCAATTCCATGTAACCATTGAGCCACCTATCTATTGTTAACTGTACCACCCTAAGGCACTTACACAGCTCTACCACTGCAGATCTGACTGCTCCTCCTTCTCTAATGTACTTACTTTCACAAAATTATGACAAAACCTGACAGGAACCTGAAGAACAGTAGCATCTTCTATTTTGTTACATTATTCTGGCACTTGAGGTCCCAATGAAATGCAGGATTCCAGATTACTTGCCTGGCTCTGGAGCAAGCCAAATGCTTTCCTGTACACAGAAACTCCAGCAACCGCATAGATGCAACCAATTCAAGCCATGTGGTACACCTAACCCTGAGCCACTCAGGAATGGCTAACCAGGATTGCCAAAACTACCCAAAGGGATAAAGCAGTTCACTTAAAAAACCAAACCAAAACCTTACATATTGGTGATAAATAACAATTCTGACTCGAAGATCACCTTGAGGCACTTACTGCAATTGCAAGGGCTTCTCCTCACTTTCCTGAATGTAAATGAAGTCCTCGTTTCCCTTCGATTTAGTGTTAAATCTCCAACATCAACAGTCATTGTTCCAACGTTTTGCCCAAGCTCAGATGCTTGAACAACATCATATTTTCGGGGTGTAATCCTAAAACCAAGTAAGACGAAATAAAAGAATAATTCTATTTGCATCAGAAAAAAACCTAATTCATCTTTATAAGAAGGCAATTCTTACACACTGACAAGTGTGATTACAACATGCTATTTAATGTACTGCTGCTTCTCAGTTTTCAATTTATTCAATTTCAGAGAAAAAAAATAGGAGCTGACACATAAAATAATGACATTAAAATGTTATTTAATTGCAAGTAATTACATTTCCCTTCCTTCCTTTCCTCTCCTTCCATAAAGTTTGATTGTTTATTTTTCTAGGACTTCCATTTTTTAATATTTATTTTATATAAAAAATATATTCCTTAAAGATAAAATACAGTACCAGAAATGGTGGCTATGAGTATAAAAGCATAGAATTGGCTGAGCTCTACATTAGCAGATTGAAGTTTCTTGTTATAAATGGGCCTCTCCAATGAATTCTGCTTTGCAACAGAATTGCTTTTCCATTTATTGACAAGAGAAGATGCAAATAACGTAGCACTTTGGAGATTTGCTAAAATGCCTAAAGGAAGAAACTCTGCTGTAGATCTTTCTTGACCAAAATCTATCTATCAAGCAAGCAAACTGCAGCAGAGCTTCTTAAGCTGCTCCTGGATTTGGCGTGGATTTTAATGGACACAAAATCATTTTTGAAAGGACAAAATTCATAAAGTCAAAAGTGATTTGGAACTTTCTTAGGATGACAAAAGTTTCAAATAATTTTCTGAAGAGGTTTACATTACAAAAAAGTACCAAAATCAAGAATTTTTTAATAGCCCTACAAATGGAAATCTCTCAAAGCTGAGAAGAGGAAAATGAGGAAGTAAAATGTGAAATACAACATGAGAGAAGAGAAACAGCTACACCTACATGTAGTTTCCCATCACTTGCACATGGGAAAAAGTAGATACTCTAGGAACAAAATGGAATCTCTTCAGGGAAATAGCTTAGCACTTCAAAGCTGTTACTGTCATGGTGAAACACTCCCTGAATGCATCAAGGAGATTAATGCAGAAATTTCCTCAAGAAAAAAAAACAAAAAACAAAAAACAACACCAACTCAAGGATTTGGCTACTCAGTGAAGCCCCTTCAGAGCTGCTGACTTGGCTCCCAGCAGGACAAACTCTCAGTATAAAACTATCTTCCATATTGGCTTGCTGAGTTTAACCCTCATAGGTTGAGCCGAAAGGGAAAAAAAGTGTCTTACACCTTTTAACAAAGCAGAGCATTCAGTCTCATCTCAAATTACTACTGGAATTTTTTTGCAGGGCACACGGAGCTGCTGACCAGTGCCTGTACTCAACCAAGAAGAATGATCTGAATGCGGAGAAGGCAACCTGCAGCCTGATCAGTATTCCCATGCTTTGCTGTATGCCATCACTCCTACCACAGGGAAGCTGATCTCTAATCCAGTCACAGAGAAATCCAAGTCCTTTCTGTCTGGAAATCAGGAAGCAGCACAGTGATGCTCCATCTACATGTCACAAAAAGGAGACATGGAGCAGGCCCAAGAATGGAAATCTCCCAAAGGCAGACATGGAAAGGATGGGATCTAATAAAGAACTGCCTTGTTGATGGCAGATAACGAAGCTATAATAAAATAAGCAGCTGAGGATGCCCAAGACTCCCTGGACAGAACAACTTAAAATCCCAAGTTTGTAAATTTTCTATTTGATTTTCTTTTGTACCTGCAGCAAAAAGCTAAGCCTAGCAGCTAATATTTTCAGAAATATGTCTTCTTTTTCAAAGTTCTAGTTTCAAGCTACGTAATTTCCTTTTGCCTATACTCCAAGCAAGGACTCTAGGTAAACGCTGGGCTAAAAACAGGACTCCCAGTGTCAAAAATAAAATGCTGCACGTCTTGCTTGGCACAGAGTTATTTTACTACTGAAGTGTCAGGATTAGTGCTCTGCCAGGTTACCCAAGCAAAAATGAATCTAATCAGAAAAAACATCACCAATAAACCTCATCAGAAAAGCTGGAATTTTACTTTCACCTATGAGACAAAAAGAGCACATATCTTTCACTCTCCTTGATGACACTGTTATTTCTTAACCGTATGTTTCTCTTTCAGAGAGAACAGAACAAAAATCCTTTTCCTGTGCACTTCGTTAATAGGGTCAAAACGAAGTCTCTAATTCCCCTGGCACATTGAAATCATTTCCAGAATAATTTCAAAACTGAACTTTTTGCTCTCTAATTTGACTTCTCAGGAGTATATAAAAGGCATCACAAATGATCTTAAATACATCCTGACAATATGTATGCAAGTGAATTAACTACACTTACTCACTAGATGATTAATCTTGTTGATTACAACAGTATGCTTCACCAGCATGATGGAAAGCTTACTCCAGTTGAGTATCTTGACCCATTACTGCTTTTAAAAATATACAGAAAAACTATTTTTAGGAAAGGTGGACAAGCACTGGGGCAGGAATAACTTATACATGAAAGAAAATTATGATTCCAGAAAGATCAGTAATCATAATTTTAAATGTACTTTTTGTCTTTGGTTCTCAAAAGACAACCATCACTTGAAGGTACAAGTTAAATAATAATCTCATTCCAGCTCTTATTAGGCAGGTACACTACCCCAACTTGAACGTCTGCTGGCAAGTGCCCTGCATGTATCCTTCCCCCTCCTGGGAGTTTGGATGCTCAGGGCCAGCTTGGAAAGAGCAGAGCTGGTGGCCTTGGAGAAAGCTGTCATGAAGACAACCAGAGGCCTCAGCAAAGGCCAGCCCCTTCTTCCCCTGGGAGCTGCTTTTAAACGGAGGCTGCCCTGCTGGGTCTTGCCCCAGCTATGGCCTCAGATGCATCTCCCTTAGATGTCTGTGCATGGCCACTGCCCCACTGATCTGGGCCTTGACCACCAGCCTGACGTCCCAACCTGGCCTCAGCTCCAACCTGGCCTCAGCTCCAACCTTGACCACCAGCCTGACGTCCCAACCTGGCCTCAGCTCCAACCTGGCCTCAGCTCCAACCTGGCCCTATGGAGCTGCCTGATGCCCAGGGCTGAGCAGTGTCAGCAACGTCACTGACACAGAAACCGCACTATGTTCCCAGAGCTGTAGGTAACCCTTCCAAAAGACAACTGACAGCATTTGACAGGACAGAGTAAGAAGTTTATAACGCTGGTATCCACATTCAGCCTTGTAAATAAAAAACCAAAGGACGTAACTGCCCTGGGCTTCTACAGTGATGCATGTCAGAAGTACCAGCTGCTTTTTACAACTACTTAATTTAATGAGGGAATATACAAGTGGTATGAGCACTCTATAAAAATGAACAATGTAAAGGTCATTGGGGAGTTCATATTCACCCTTCTTTATAACAAAAAATTAACCAGTAAAATTAAAAGGCAGAAAATCTTCTGCCAATAAAAGGATTTGATGTTTAATTTACACAGAATGTAATTAGTCTCTCCAATTGACTGCTGTATCAGTGACTGCTTAGGTCAAACAAAGGAAGAAACATCTACTGTGGGCATTTCTGTCCAATATGAAGGTTTCCATATTCTCCTGAAGTGCACTACTGTCACTCTCAGATCTTGCCAAGGTTTTAGCCTTTTTGCCAATTTCAGCACTCCTACTGTATGTATCTCCCAGAGGTGCATGATTTAAAAATTATGTATTTCAAATCTACAATAAGCAAAGCCTCAAGACATATTTCAATAAATCTATTTTTCAGGATCCCAAACCAGCTCAGTAAAATGCAACCTTATCAGCAGTTAAAGTGTCCCTAAAGCAGCTGGGAAGAGCTCAGGAAGACTCTCTTTTGTCACTCGCATGCCCTCTGTACAGGGGAAGTCACTCTCTTAAACCAGCCCTTCTCTAAAGACTTTGGGATATGTGATCCAATGGGAAAAGCTGTGGGCTGAAAAGAGAGAAAGAAAATGGTGAAGCTAATTGCACTACAATCAATTCTTTGCCAGCTCAGCGTCATTGAGGACTTTCACACCCCAGATGTAAGTGAGAGCAATTTCAGAGCGAAACTTCACTTGTGATAGCAGCAGGAAACTGCAGCTCAGGGACTGGCAATTACCTTCTTAAAATCCTCATTTTTTTCCATTTAACCTGAACAGCATCTGAGCAGAGGAGTAAAATTTATATAACAATTATAAAACTTTCTTTATTTCAGAGCAATTTTAAATACAGAACATCATTAACAAAGCAAACAAACATCACATATATTATTCTTCTATTATCAGCAATGCAGGGACTCTTACACATACCCATGTGTCCACAGGTATCTGGATTCTCCAGCCATCACCAATAAACTGCACCGGGGCAGCATAATTGACACCATACGGCCATCAGGGTGTTTGAAATCCATCACAATCTAAAAAGAAACAAAACCAGCCATCACGAATGAGGATGCCTTACAGAGCTTCATATACATGCCAGGCATTCTCAAGTCCTAGCTTTGCCTCTTCAATGTGTTCATCAGAATATTGCCATGAAACAGTTACATATTTCCTAAGGATGCAAAAGCCTCTAGGTCTCTGTCCTTAAGATTTTTCCCTTTCAGCACTGTGTTCAAAAGTCTGAGGCAGTCACAAATATATGTGTATATACAGATAATTAAAATACTAACTGTATATATATATATATTTATTTTCTTTTCACAGCAACAGCTTTCTTTGTGAGAAAGCTTTGTTTGAGAACACAGTAGCACTGTTTAAACTCTGTAGCTGTGAGGCAGGAAAGGATTACTACCCCTCAACCAAGGGCAAAGTGAGTAAGAGGAGAAGAGGGTTCATTTGCTGTAACTCAGGCATCTGAAAGTTAGGTACCTGGGCTAAGGCAGTCAGCTACTGTCTTTTTGTGAAGCCTCTGCACAGAGAGACAAGTATCTCCACAGAGTGAGTCATTCTAGTCTAAAATGTAGAGCTAAGTAATGTGGAATGACTCTATGCCCTCTGGAAATGCCTATACCTTCATAGCAGATTGAGCTGAGACAATTAACTCAGAGTAGACACATAACATTTAGATAACCAGTATTAGGTGAGAGAAATAACTTCCAACTTGCCCACATTCTCAGAGGTTTGCAGCACAACAAGTGCACACAGTCTCCCAATATCCCGACTAACATGCCAAGTACCAGGCCATCCTTCTATTATTTGCCACCTGGCTTCTAGCCATGGCAATATATTGAGGTAACGCTTTCAGCTTTATTACAATTTCACAGCCCAGGTGGCACATTTTGCCACATTTTGCTTCTGCTTGGGCTAGGAATTTTACATTTCCCAAATGAAAGAAACTCTTGCTGTGGAAAATAAGGAGTAGGTCATTTACGCAAGCCAAACAAGTTACAAAGACTTACCAAAAAAGGAAAGTGGTCAAAAACTATTCAAGTCAGCGGTTCCAGCTACACTGGAGAATTAGCACCATGAAAGTTTCTGCCACCTGATTTGTAACCTACTAATTATGCAATTTAAAAGCAGACTTACTACAGTATGCCAGATAGAAACAAATTAAGCAGTTCTGCTTCTGCATACAGATGAGTTTAACAAAGAGAAAACAGTGGTGCAACAATCAGTCATTCAGCAGAAAAAATCAGCAAGACAGGGACTGAATAAGCAAGACTGTTAAATACTACAAATTACCACTTACAACATTTACTATTTAGTGTTGTGCACACTGAAGCAAACTACTAAGAGCGACACAGGTTCTCCTCTTGAGCTGTCTAAATTTAAGGCAAGAAATGACAGGGGTGACAAACAGTGGGGTTGAAAGGGGAAGAGAGATATGGGGAAACAGGAATAAATGAATAAAGCCTACCTATAAGCTCTGACGAATGATTATGAAACACTTCAATAGCTACACAAATAGACGAATGGCAGCCACTTGCTAATATACTCCTTCCCTTGCACTTAGCAGTTTCTTCTAGATATCCTCACAGACACATGAGGTGAAGGAGAAAACACAGTGGCTTCACAGATCTGATGGGGAGTCTGTCCCATAAAGCACAGATAGGTGCATGCCTCTAAAAAGATGTAGCTATCTGGTAAAGCAAAGAAACCATAGGATGACTAATCAGGACCAGCAAATAAGGAAAGGAAAAGCATGAAAAGAAAAGAAGTGGGGAGTGAAGTGGCTGGATGAAATGGGCGAGATGGTACCTCAGTCTGTCTTCTGCCTCTGTAGCTCACTGCTGTTGGGGTCAGGTGTGAAGGGACAAGATAGAGACTGGGTTCTTCAGAAGCATGGCAGAATAAACTGAACTTGAGACTCTGTCCAGATTCCTTCCTGGAAGCTCAGGTACCCTACTGTCCTTCTTTCTGGGTCAGCAGTAGTTACAAAGCTCTGTTCTTGCAGATGATGGTCAAGAACTGCACTTTCTCCAGGAGCCAATGAGGAGACCTCTATGATGTCCCCTACACTTCCAGTTGCCACTCTCCTCCAGGGCCTGGAAGAGGACCTCATTCCCTTTCACTTCTCTGTTGGGGACTCTATATGAAGCAGTGGGAAACAGTTCCTCCAGCTCCCTGCCTTCTCCACTGCTTTATCTTGAATACCTTTTCCCCCACCAACTGCATGGCCACAGTCTCTTCACAGAAGATGCTCCTCAAACTCTGTTGTGTTAACAACTGTGCATTCAAAATAGCAGAGATTCAGAGTGCTCCATAACAGATAGAACGTTGGCAATGAGAGGCCACAAAACTATTGGATTTTCAGCAAAAGTGGCAGGAAAACAGAGAGTAAAAGAGGAGAGCATGTCCTCCTGGCAATTCCAGCTATCCTAAGCCAACAAGAAATATGTGAAACAATTTCTGATGGTGCAGATTTGAGGCTGAAAAGCAGGAGATTACCTATGTAACAGCTGGAAAGTCTAGTCCTCACCAGCGCAGGATCCCAGCTCTGTCCCTGCTCCCTACTTTTCTGTGGAGGATAAGCTTCTCTACTATCATCTCACACACTGTGACTGCTCCCTTTCTAAACTAATTTCATCCTTATGACACACTGTGATGATTTGGGGAGGAAAATATAAATAAAGGATTAATTTACTTGCAAATGGGCAATGACATAAAGTAATTAGCAGTAAGTGGAAGAGTCAAAAATCCAAATCCAAAACTGACTTTTGTTTATGAAGCAGAGATGCTCAGCTAGAACATATTAAAGTTTTGCACTTTTTCTATTAACAAATTCGACATTGCAATTCAGATAGAGAATCAAATTTAACAAACTCTCTGTGAACATATGAAGAAAATCAGTGCAATCCCTGTATTTCATTCCTTTATCTAGAATAACTGCACCTGAACACTTAAAAAACCCAGACAACAATATTTCTTCTATTCTTTGTCTACAGTAAAGAACATTTAACCCAGAAGGGTTTTTGAAGAATTCTGTTCTTATCACTAAAAAGCCTATTACTGACAGAAGTAGATAACATTCCCACACTCCTATATGTGCCTTTACCCTGGCAGAACATTCTAAATTGTCGCTGTCGCACACACACGCACACAAAAGATTAACGCATTTGGTCCTCTTTTTAATTTACTAAGGACTCACAATCAATAAAGCAACTCTGCCACTGCTGAATCAATCTGCTTCATGACAGCTTTGCTCTGCAGGAGCTATTTCCAATTACAATTTTCATTTTTACCTATTTTCTTTTTTCTCTTAGGTGGCAGAGTCAATAAAGATCAAATTTCCAGCTAGCCCATGGTGCATCATCCAGAGATTACATTCAAAAATAATAATAGTGGATGCTTTGATCTTATACAACTTCTACCTTCTTTCTTTATACTACAGAAAAGGTCTGTCTCTGTCTACACACCAAAAAACTTGAAAGAAACAAACAGCTAATAATACCTAGCTGTGGATTTAAATATCTTTTCATGATGCCAGGTTATTTAAGAGAGTCAGCTCGTGATGAGGGCGCACATGAGGCAGTAAACAGCTTTCAAGGATGGCTAAACATCAAAGCAAAGGGACACATCATGAACATTGTTCCAGTGGCATAAAATACAGCAAAACGCAAAACCCAGAAAATAACCTAGCTTAAAAGAGAAAGGGAAGAAAGTTTGGGGTTTTTAACTCCTTGAGGAATGAGAAGTCTGCATCACCTTCCAGTGCAGTGATGCTGAACTTCATGAAGGAGCAGGAGGATGGAGATGAATGACTGGTCTACCAAATAAATAACATCTGAAGACAAACCAGAAACAATGCAAGGGGCTATAAGGACAACATCAAGAAGGATTTCATGGCTACAGCATGGAATGGCAGCATTGGTTTTTTAAGCTTTGTCTCAGATGCAATTTGTATTTCGTAATACACTACCTTAGACAAAACACACTCTAAAGCTAAAAAAAGTACAATGTGGAATGCTTCTCAAGTCTCTGACATTATTTACTGAATTTTCAGAGAGCAAAGACACATTATCAGCCTACATAGCAGTTTCCCACATGTAAAAAAGATGAAAAAGAATATCTACTTCAAAGACAGCTGAGAGGTTTAAAGCCCACACATGGAGCTTGAACAACATAGTCAGGCTCTATGGAGAGACAAGAGCCTGCTGGCTTACACAGGACTAAGGCAATCAGCCAGTAACACAGTGCCTTTCACTACAAAAACCATGCTAAATCCCCAAATTTGGAATTCAGAAAAATGCTGAATTTTATGGGGAAAGAAAATAAGATTATCTTCTCCAAATAATCCATGTCATAGGAAATTTATATTATGTAACCTATGCTGATATTTCCATTCTGTATCATGGTCTCTAGCCACACTTCAGAAAAGGAGTGCAACGTTGATAATCATGATGATGAAATATTTCAGTACTGCCTACCTCAAAAATTTCTCAACACATGCACAGGCCTCCCCTATATCAGATTTACACCAAAGCATACCATGTCTTGCTAAACCCACTTATCTATTTAGGCACTATGGTGATGGTAGTCAGATACTTGATACACTTACTAGGTTTTATTTCTTTAAAAATTCAGTTCCATCCATGCAATGCATTAGTATCTTCCTGAATTTTCTGTGTCGTTTTAAGTATCTATATATTTCTTCCTCTTAATTGAAGTCTAGGATACAAATATTTAAAAAACTATTTCAATATACAGACAGCACTTCATTCTTTTCTCTCTGAGGTCTCACCTTGTTATGATTTTCCCCGATAACCCCAAGGAGGAGAGCGTATCCACTGAACAGCACACCAGTATCTCTCCTAGCTATTACATACGCCATTGACTTCGTGATACACAAATTCTCTTGTTGTCTGTACTCTGTTTACAAGATTCAGGTAGTAAACAACAAAAGGAAAACTGCTGCAATTTCCAAGCTAACTCCTGTTTGATGGAGGAGCTTCCAATCCTCTGCAGGGCTTGTCAC